CATCCACTGATAAGACCCTTGCCTTTGGGCAGGGAATCCTCAAGCACAGAACTGAAGACAAGCCAGAGCGGCCCAAGGTCCCTTTTCTGCTATTGGGCAGATTTCGCTGGGTTTAGAAGGAAGGCCCAGCCCCCCAGGACCTGCCAGAGCCCAGCATCAGACCAGCCATCCTGAGGTCCCAGAGAAGGCCCCTGTGGTCTAGAGGGGTGAGGAAGTGGGTGCACCCTGCACATATCTGTCTGTCCAGCAGACCCGCACACTGTCCACTGTTCTCACCTGCAGTTATCCACCAGGGCCAAGCCAGCACTCACTGGCACAAGACCAGCCAGCCTTCCTGCAGGGCAAAGGCAAGGCCAAGTCCACTCATTTATTCACTCAACACCAAACACTTGTCAGGCCTGTGCTACAGGCTAGGAGGTGCAAATGCAGTGGGCCATGTTCTGCCTTCAAGGAACCTATGGTCTAGTGGGGGAAATGGTCCCGAGAACTGACTCTCTATGATGTCAGTGCTAGGAGCTCAGAGCCAGGAGAAAGGTTTTCTGGATGCCGTATCATTTGGAATCAAGTCTTAAAGGATGGTGCTGTCTAAGCAGGCGGCCTGGAATTTGGCCACTAAGAGCCTCCCAGAGCCTAGAGAAATCTGTGTCTGGGCCCGTCCCATCTCTTCCTTTCTCCCTGGGCCTATCCCTTCCCCCACCACCCCTCATCTGTTTCCTGAGAGCGGGACATTCCTGTAAGCAGCCTGTGCCATCCCCACCCAGCTCTTGGCCTCATGTCACACAGGGCTCAGAACAGCCATGCCACGGGGGCATCCGGCCCACCCTAGCCTGTCACACAATGGTGTGCCACCCGCCAGGGGAAGCCATTGTGCAGCCTCAGCCCTCTGCTAGCTTCTGGCACAGGCAGGGAGATCAGCGTAGGGGGGAGGCCCCTGCAAGAGGAAGGGCTGGGCCCAGGGAGGAAGGACGGAAGGCAACTGAGAGGTCAGGAGCTGAGCCCACACCCCCCAGAGGCACCTGCAGGGGCTGGGGGAAGGAGCCCAACCAGCCACTCACAGCCAACTGGTTATTGAATCCCAGATAGCCAGTCTGGCTTCCCAGGCTGGTGAAAACATCCAGAAGTCACCTGTCCCAGCAGAATGACAGAATCTGCTGTAGGGTCGTCAGCAGTAGCCCCCTGAAGCGGAGGACACGGCTCTTGGCAGCTCACCTCATACCTTTAGAGCTGAGGACGCTTCTTTTTATTAACCTTGGATGCCGCTGCTGTTTAGAAGCGGCACTTCCCCCGTTTTGAACTCAGGAAACCCAGCCTGGCCCTTTCCCTGTGCCATAGACCCAGTCAGTCCGCTTCCTCTGGCTCTGCGTGGTTGGACCCTTTGCCCTGCTTCTGAGGGATGTTTTGCAGCTGCTCAAATACTACCTACCCACTGGCTCAGCCCACTAAGCGGCTGTGGGGCTCAGTGGTTAACTTAGCTTCTTCCTGACCACATGAAACAGGGTTTCCCAGGCCACCAGAGTCCTACCAGAGCCCTGTGGTCGCAGCATCACGGGGCAGGAAAGGGAGTGACAGAAGGTGATGGGAAGGGATGGAGCTTTGGACATGAGCCCACCTTAGGGGGCCCTGGTTGTACTGTAAGCAAGTCCAAGGTAAAGGTCAAGCCAACACCTGGCCTGTCATGCCATTCAACTCGGTAGAGAGGAAGTGCAGACCTGGGGAGCAGGGGACTCGGGCTGGAACAAAACAAGCCCTTTAGAGCCTCACTTTCCCTGTACATTAAATGGGGACAGTGATGCCTCCCAGGCATTCGTAGCTTGGTCTGGACGGGGAGGCAGGTGTGTGGGCAGAATCAAAGCAGTAATAGCACGTGTCAAAATGTTTTGGAAAGCAGAGTGTTATGTAAGAAAAGTCAAAATGTGACAGACACACTATCACTTGTGTATCATTCCTCAAGGCAGATGTTTCTAGCTCATGTCAGCACTTTCTCTCTACGTGGTGGCAGGACTTCCCTCTCATTCTGTGCCCAGGAAGTCATGCCAGTAGATCAAAATTGCAAACAAAATGAAGCCTCTGTCCTCGGCCTGCAGGATCTCTGGGCATTGTCACTGTTGAGGCTGCTAGGACCTAGAGCTGGTGCAAAGTCAGAGGTCACCCTCCCAGTTGTGAGTGACCCAGGAAACTTAGGGCTGCATGTTGTTTGAGCCCGCCCCCCGGAACTCACAGAAGGGTAAGGGAGTTGTAGGGTGCAGGGTGTGTGCAGGGTGCAGCGTGCAGACAGGAAAGCAGCAGCAATGCAAAGCAGGCTACTTGGCGTGCCCAGTAAAGGGGCCACACGGGGTGCTCTCTGGGGTTAGGGCAACTGCTTGGTTGGGTTGTGAGTGACTGCTTCTCAGAGGAATTTGCACTCAGCATCCCAGCCACCTAGGCAACCCCAGTTCCTCTTTCTGTCCTTTGTAAATCTTAGCCAGCCCTGGAATGCTCCAGCTATCATCCAGACAGGCCCTTCCCTTCCTTGAGACAGGGCTACTGTGCCCAAGCTGGAGTGGAGCATGGCGGCACCACTGCAGTCCCCAGCCCCACCATCTTCTGAATCTCCCAAAAGTCCCCTCACCAGAGAGCACTCCCTGAAGAAAGCATTGCACCAACCTAGGCTGCACATAGAAGGGAGCGTGGTCCAGAGCTGGTCTTTTGAGAAGCAAGGGTGCGGTGCATCTACCCCGGGGCCCATCACCAGAGCAGCCTGACTCAGTGTCAGCCTCTCCTGTGCCTCCATGATGTGTTTCCAGGGAGTCAGCACCATTTCCTTAGCCTCTCCCTCTCAGGAAATAAGGGCAGGAGGTCTTTATTAAATGTGGACGTCAGGAAATGGATCACACAGGCCATAAACATTGATTCAGCGCTTAACAAATTTGTGCCTAGAAGCACAGATTTCCCTTCCAGGCCCTCAGACCCTGCTGGAACTCACCAGCCTCCTCTGCCTAGTAGGTCCCAGGGCCCTGCCCAGTCCCCACTCCCCTCCTCTGTTCTGTGAACCCCAGCCTACAGGCTCTAGCCACCAGGGCTGGCATTCCCAGGGGCACCACCAGCCTGCAGAGGTGGGGTGTGGTCATGGATGAAGATGGAGCCTGGAACTCAGAGTAATTTCACTGAAAACAGGAAACCACGAAGCTGAGAAGAAAAGCTAGAAAAGATCTAAAGGCCATGCAGAAGGAAGCTGGGGAGGAAGTGTGAGGCCACCTCCTTTCTCTCCACAGCAGCAGCTAGGGCTGGCCAGATGCCTAGACATTGTCTCTATCATACAGTCAGAAACTGAGGAGTGGGCTCGGTAAGCCTCCCCAAAGGGCAGAAACACTGTTTCTGAGCTGGAGGACAGAGGGTATGGACTCTGGAGACTTGTCCTTCAGCCCCACAAGTAGCCTAGCTCTGCCCTGAGCAGGTGTTACCCTACCCACTCCGGCCCCTGACAGCGGACGGCACATCACCCTCTTTCTGTGGCAGCCGACACTGAGTGTCCTTGGCAGCCTATGGAGTAGAAGAGGGGATAACCCCAGAGACAAAGCAGGCCGCATGGTTTTGGTGGTGTGGCTGCTGGAGGTGTCAGTGCAGACCTGAGGCCACCTGAGGCAGATCTGAGAACTCACCCTCTCCTCCAGGCCCCCAAGCCCGAGCTAAGCCCCAGACATAGCAGGATGTACCCCGATGGTCCCACGTCCCTAGGCCTGACAAAGAAGCTTGGAAGCAATGCCAGGTGTCCTCTGCGGATGGACCCAGGGGCTCTCTTTCATCCCTATTCCCACCTCCCCAGGTGATCATGCAGGTTTCTCTCTAGCTGCTAGGCCCTCAACCTGACCCACTTCGGCTGGGGGCAGGTGAATGTGCAGGTGAAACCCTGCCCTCTGCCCAGCATGCTTAGCGCTCCAGCCCCTCCCCCTCGGGCACCGCCTGCCCTGTCCCCACCGCCGCGTGTCCATGAGACCCTCCACTCTGCACACATTCAAGCCCTTTAATTGACATCTCCACAGAGTCCCTCATGTGTACATGTATAGAAACGAATCTGTCAGGAGGCAGGAGTAAAGGGTTGAGAGCAGCATAGACACACCCACTGCTCCCACCCAACAAGCTCACTCTGTGCTAAAGGCTCAGCACTGGTTGAACGAACTCCGGAGACTCAGGTACCTCAGACTCAAGAGTAGGTGTAGAAATTCCGCTCTTACCCCAGTCCTAGGCCCCGTCCGGGGCCCCTGTCATTTGAAGAGCACCCCTTCCCCTCTCAGAAGTGTCGCAGTTTGGACAGTGCAGCGTGTGGTCGCCCTCTCCATCAACCAGCTGCAGCGGGAGGGGGAGGGGGCTGTAGGAGAGGCCCATCATCATCTTCAAGCCTCTCACTCCCCCGCCCCCACCAGTGGTGGACAGTGCAGCTTCGGGCCTGGACTTTGTTGCCCTAGATGCCGATGGGCTCACAGTGGCTACTGTGCCCTAGTATGTACTGCCTGTTTGGGGGCCTCTGGTTGGTGAACTCTGGGGACCAGTATGCAGGTAGTGGGAGCCTTGATCTGTTCAACCTGTTGACAGTTCCTTGGAGAGGTTGTTGGTAGGCAGCAGCTGGGGGAGGCTACCCAGCCAGGACTCAGCCAGGCCCAGCCCCAGAACCGCAGTTACAGACACTGAATTTTAACAGATGAGCAGCCGCAGATGAGATAGGGAAGCCAGGCCCACAGTGGGGCAGAGTCTCTTTGTATCCCATCCTCTCTCTCGTGCCTGGGAGGGTGGCACTGGGGTGGCACGTGGAGGGCATCAGTCCAGTGCCCATCTAGACACATCTGTGCTCAAGTCCCAGGGAACGAGGCTGACACACAGCTGGGCATCCTCAGGCTCCTAGGATGTAGGTCATTTGGCATTGGTAGCTGGTGAACCCCACACCTCTGGAGCAGAATCCCAGCACCCCACAGTCCTTGAGACGAGGGCCAAACGATGCAGCCTCCCCCACTTGCTCCATGAAGCATCCAGATAGATTGAAGGTCTAGCCACCAGGGGTATCTCTGGGGTCAAAGCAGAAGGGAAAAAACCAGGGCCAAGACCACAGGGTCCATACACAGGACAGCCTCAAATTGAAAGTACCAGGCCCAGTCACAGTGGCCAACTGGCCCCAGTTTGTCTAGATGACCTCAGAGTTTGGGGAGTCAGGGACAGGGTCTGAAAAAAAAAAAGGAAAATCAGAGTGAATGGAGGTCCCTCTGTCCCCACAAATGCACACTATGAGACTGTGATGTCCCCCACCCCCAGGGAGAGAGATGAGGTTGATGCCCTGCAGGCCACCGGAGCATGACCTGAGAGACTGCAGAGCTGTGAGAGTTGAGGAGCACTCACCCAGGGATGGGAAGAAGACTTCCCCCGGGCCCTGTGGAGACAGAGGAGTGTTTGGCTCTGAGAGTAGGTGCCGCCCGGACTCGGAAAGCTGCCGCTGGGCCACATAGGACAAGGGAGGCCTGGGTCTGGTCTCTGGCACCCCATGAGAGGGCGGAGAGACCTCGTAGCCGGGGTTTTCGATTCCTTGAGTGTTGCTGCTAAAGAGGCAGAAATGAAGGTCACTTGTGCTGCCCTCCCATCCCCCGACCCCCTACACTTCTGGGTCCCTTTCCCCCACATGCCTTCCCAAGCCTCAGCGCCTTTCCCAGCAGGAAGGGAGGATCCAGATCTAGAAGTGGAAAGGGAGGAGGGGCTGCACACGCCACCCTGCCTGAACTGAAAGCATCAGGACAGGTTCTGAACTGGCCCGGTGTTTTGCACCCGGGGCCCAGTCCAGAAGCCTGGGGTCATTGGCACTTCTGGAACACCAGCTTCAGGAATCTAGGGGCAAGTCTCTCTTTGGTCAGTAGAGTTAGTAGCACTGGGACTGAATCCCCACGGCTTGCCTTGAGCTGAAGGGAGGGGCCTCTTCTCTTCCTGCTTGGGAGTGGGACAGTCTCTGGAGACCTTTCCTGTCTGAGATTCTGAACCATCCCTTGCAGGACTTGCTTTGACCTGTCTAGAATATCATCCCTTTCAAACACCCTGAGGAGCTCTGGCATTGAGACTGCAGATACCAAGAGTGTGGCTCCTTCCTGAGCATGCCCTCTGTGCCAGGCCCCGTGCCAGCTTCCCGTCCAGAGACACACGCTCCCCTGCTCCCATCCTCTGTGATCTGCTGACCTGGTCAGCCCCTGCTTCTGTGGCCCAGGGTTGTGGCCTTCTCCTTGGAGCACCCCTGCAGAGAGGTGCCCCGACTCCAGTGGACATCCTGTCTGCCTTTTTGCATGTGTCAGTGTCTGCTCCAGCTCAGCTGCTTCCTGCCCCAGCCCTGTGGCTGACCACAGAGGCCCACATGTGGGTGCATGCTATACCTGAGCATCAGCATTAGCATGGCTGTCTGCCACTGAGGAGTGGTAGTGAGACAGCCAACAGGCACAGATGTGTCAGCCGCAGACGCAGGTGGCAGATGTGCTTCTAACCAGACATGCTAGACGGCCAACAGGGCCCCTGATGCCCAGAAATATCTCCTTCCTGACAGCTGGCTGGGGAGGCCACATCTGTATTCTCAGCCCTTCGGTCACACCACCAGTTACCATGGAGTAGCGAGAAGGGACAGATCCTGTGGAAAGAGCAGGGAAGCTAAAAGCTGCCCCTCGCCCTGTGCATTAACTGCAGCCACTGCTTAGGTAGACACCTGACCCTACAGTGCCACAGGCCCAGGCAGAGGCAGGGAGGGAGGTCAGGGTGGGAGCACCTGCAGGGGATCTTCTCAGGAAGGTCTCCATGGGTCTTACCTGTCCATTCGCACCAACTCCTGGGCACCTGAGACAAAGGGACAGAGAAGCTGGTCACATCCCTGCCCGGGCTGGCACATGCCCCTCCAGGGACAGCAGCAAGGCCAGGCAGGGCCCCGGCCAGCCCCGGATCCCACTGCTGTTCACCTGGGATGCCCAGATGGCTGTGCTCTGCCTGTTCACCCTGCAGCCGCGGCCTTCAAGAGGCCTTCGTGAGCACCCCGCTTTGTCTAGTGACCAAGGGGTCTGAGTTTGCATCTCGCAAGTTGTCACCCAGAGCAGCCACTGCATCTCCTACAGCTTGACTTAGGTGGTATTAGACTGTGTGAGCTAAGTGCACCCCGAGGCCTTGCTCCTGAATCTGCTGTGTTCTGCTTGGGCGTCTGCCATGATTTACCGGGTGGGGGAGTTACAGGTCAGGTCCTCCATGTCACACCCTCCACACTGCCACTGGGGTGGCTCTAGCGGTGACATCTCCGAGAGGGGAGGGAACCTTAGGGGGTCTGAGGCCCTAGCATTTCTCAGCTATTCCATGTGTTTTCTCCTCATTCGAGGTGCTGCCTTACTCTTGAGGTTCCCTACTCCCCAAACCAGCCACCACCCAGATGGCCCCAACTTCCCTCTTTGTTCCCATCTGCTCCCACAGATCCTTCTTGCTTCAGCAGCTTCAGCGCCCATCACAATGGGGAAGCAGATGTAGGTAGGGGTGGCGCAACAACAGGACACAAGCAAGGAAGTTGCACAAAGTTTCCCGAAGTCTCCGAGGGAGCAGAATCATGGCTGCCGCCTACAGGCAGCTTCTGGGCCTGTTTGCTGGGGGTGCCCTACATGCCCTCGGCCCACCACTATCTGAAGGATTGTGATCCCGCTTCAGAGCTGGGGAAACCAAGTCTGATAAGTTTCCACCCCCCTCCCGACACCCCCGTCTCTAGCAAGCTGCCCTCCTGGGGCTCCCCACCCTGTCTCTGTCCTGGGTGTGGCTCATTTCCGAGCACTCCTCCAGGCCAGGTTTGGTGCCAGGGTCATCCCCGTCCAGGCAGACTCCTGTCCTGTGGCCAGGTGCTTGGGCTCCCAGGTGATTTCCGACCCCCTTGACGCCGAGAGTCCAAGACCAGGAGAATTGACGCAAACCTCTCTCCCTCTTTCCATTTTGCACTTGGTTTCTCGAGCTCGTGCCCTCTGGCATCCTTCATATCTGACACTCGGAACCATACACTGCGTTCTCTTTTTTTTTTTTTTTTTTTGGAGGGGGGCAGGGAGACTGACCTCAAAACTATTTTTATTAGAAAATGAATTAAACTTCCCTGCTACCACACCCATAAAACCTGAGGGTGAAGGTGCAGAAAGTGACTGCCCTGCACAGGAATGGGATTCTGTTAGAGGCTCGAAGGCCATGTCAACGGCCTAGCTGCCCCGGGCCTGCTTGTTCCCTCTGCCAGTCCAGCTCTTCAGCACCCAGGTCATCTGTCCCTTGTGGCCCCTTCCTGAGGGAAGTCGTCTTCCTGATGGTGGCCCCGTGCGTGGAGTTGGAGTGTTCTCTCGATCATTGTGTGCTCCGGGACAGCCCCGTGGGCTGCTGTCCTGGGAACGTCCCCTCTGGTTTTCCTTCCTCCAGCTGGGACTTGGGCAGGGCCTCAACTCGGTCTCTGGGGACTCCGAGGAAGGCTGAGAAACCAAAAGCAGGAGCATGGGCCCCCTGGATCCCACACACACCCCACCCGGCATGGGGACTTGTTTGTCTTCCGGTTCCTGTTCCCTAATGGAGGCAGTGCTGTGGTCTGGAATGAGGGGGCAGAAAATACCTAACATGCCTGTCTCCCTCCTCCTCCCTTCCCCTCCACCATGGAAATGCTGAAACTCCGCAGGCATTCCTCTGCCTGCTTGAATCCCTGGGGTCCTCTTTCTGCTCTGACCCTTTTACCTGCCTCCCACCCCACCTTCAACCTTGGGGTATTTCTGTAGGTTGTTCATGGTGGATTTGGGGAGAGAATGAGGACCAGTGGCAGCAGTCTCTGAGTGACCAGCTCAGGCCCCCCAAAAGCAGGATGTCAGGTTGCTATGGCCCAGCAGAAGGAAATTGGGGCGAGCCAGAAACGACTGGTGGCTGAGCACGCTTCTTCAGTCGCCTGTGCCAGGCAGACAATGCCAGTTCCAAGGGCAGAGGGCTCCCCCAACCTCCTGCTGCTGGAGGACTCTGGCTGACGCTAGTGGGTGGGGTCAGAGGAAGGGCAAGGGGCATGTCACCTGCGGAGGAGGGTGAGAAGGTGCTTGTCCCCGTGACTTAAAGACAGGTTCTACCACTTACTAGTCGGGTGGCTGCTTACGTCCGTTACTTCACCTCTCTAGGCTTCAGTTTGCTCAGCTATCAGATGAGGAGAATGTTAGGACCGATGTCTTGGAGGAATAAGTCACAGAATGCACGTCATTGTGAGGAATAAGTGACAGAATGCATGTAGCTGGCTGGGCTTGGCCCCGGGCACAGGTGAGCATTTCTATTCTGCGGCGGGTGATATTCTCTGACAAGACTGTGCTCAAAACTTGGGTTCCAGCTCTGTCCCTTACTAAGTTAGATAGCATTAGGTTAATTATTTAATCCTAGTGATCTTAGGTTTCTCGCTTGAAAAAAAAAGAGTTGAACTAAGTTATCGTGAAGCCCCCATACAGCTCTCATCATTGATCATTTCTCTCTTCCTGATCGCTACACTAGTGACAACACAAGCCTGTCTACGTGGTCCAGACGGAAAAGCAGGCTCCCCAAGCATTTTCAAATAGCAGCATTTTTATAAGCCAGTTTGAGCTCCTCCATACCATCATTCATCCATCCAGCAGGCATTCACTGAAGCCACTTAGACTGGCCGGGGTTGGTGGGCAATCGGGCCCCGCGGCCATTGCCATGAGCAGGGAGTCCAGCTGCTGGCAGGAACTGCGGCAGCTCCTGTCTGTGGAACCCTGAGGAACTATGCGCCCTCTACTTTGGTTCTCTGGAGGCTGAGCCGGGAGCAGGGGCCAGTCGCACAGAGGCTGAGCGGAAGGCTGACCAGGTCACTCAGTTGCCCACTCACCCCAGACAGGCAAGGATACTCACGGCGGTTAGAGGCCACCTGCCTCTGCTTGTAGACCAGGAGCAGGATGAGGGGAAGGCAAAGGATCCCCACAATGCAGGCTCCCGTGGCCAGGGCTGCAGCTGTGATGTCTGAAAGGACAGAGGCAGCCAAGGTCAGGTCCCATTCCTGTTGCTCCTCTTTACGAGAAACTGAGGTCCGGAGAGGGAACACCAGAGAGCAGGGGAGCCCACCTTACTCAGACCTCACAGCCAGACCCTCAGGGACTAGCAGAGGGGCCTGGGGACCCCTTTTCAAAGAGTTCCTCACCCCCACCACCCATATGGCACCCAGAAATGAGGGCCTAGCAAACAGAAATGAGGTGCCAGTGCTTATAGCTGAGGCAGCTGGAGGGAACAGAGAGAGGGATCTTCTTCCTAGCCCCTGGGTGACAGCTCAGCCACCAGGGGCCACAGGCGGTGCCCTTCACAGTTCCCATGCCACAGAATTCAAGGTCAGTAGGAGCCCACGTGATAATGTACCCAATTTTGTGAACATAGTTGGTGCCTCTGAATTGTAACACAAAAGAGTCAAAATGGAAAGTGTTATGTATATTTTGCCACAGGAAAGTATAAATGAATATAAAGGCCAACTCTTCAGGCTGAACTCCAAAAGCACCCCTCCTCTTGATCTGACACAAGTCACAGGGGAAACTCAGGACAAGAGGTAGAAAAATGTGAATCTTTGGCATTTTGAAATTTTGAATTTTCTAGGTTACAAAAGAAATATGACTAAGTTGAAAAGTATCTATAGTTGAGTGTTCCCACTCCAGAGACTCACTATGCAGTGCCCCTGTGTAGTATCTGGAAAAGTTCCCTGCATGCACCGGGCGTGGGGGTACTGGGGAGTTGCTGGTCCCACGTGGCATGACTTGGGCATCTCTGTGCTGGCAGCAAGCTCTACCTCATTATGCCTGTGGCCTTATCACCTGGCTCACCCAGGATTTATTGTAACAGTCTGTTGGCAGGTACCTAGGTTGCTTTGATTTTCGACATAACTAATAACGTAGCAATGAACTCCTGTGTCCAATCTTAGCTCACTCAGCACACACATCTACATACATCTCTAGCCGTGAAATACTGAGCCACAGTGTGTGTGCATCTTTGTTTAGGCTGTGGCCAAATTGCCCTCCAAAAAGGTTGTGCTGCCTCTGGTTCCCACCAGCAACAGGAGAAACTTGATTTATTTTAGTCCATCTGCTGACTCTAGAAGTTTAGCTGGGAACAGACATGCCCTCAAACCACAAACCGAGTAAAACACATTTCCTTCCCATTCCCTTAGCTGGACCCCAGGCAGCTGTGGGGACGGGTATGGGCCGAGTGTTGCCTTGCCCAACTGGGTATGGAATAAAGGTTGCTATGGCCGTTTCTATCTCACCATAGTGCTAAACAGTGGTGTAAACAAGCTTTCAAGGGGGTTGTTCACACCATAGAAGAAAAAAAAACTGTTTTCAGGCACTTAGAAGTACCCACGAGTACCGGAACAGTTGCTGTGTTGATCACAAAGCAGGTTCACCACAGATCTTAGAGAGGCTGTATTCTGGGTGGAATAGTGAAAGTAAAAAATACTTGAGTACTTCCAAGCCCTGCCACAGGTTTATTATTGTGGCACTCTCTGAGAACCTGCTGGCACCCAGTCTCTTCTGTTACCTGGGAAATAGAGAGCTGGTCCAGATTATCACCTGTAGGCCCCAGCCTGCCTGACAGGGGAGTGGTGAGGGCGGGGACAGAGAGGGGAAGTCTTAGGTGTTGGCAGAGTCCTGAATTACTGAGGGGCTGTGGTTTCCCACTGAGCCTGGGGGAGGGGGGATGGACAACTCTTTCATAGTCATCAAAGCAGGTCTCCTCAGACTGGTCCAGAGTGCCTGGTGCAGATAAGCAGAACGTGGTGCAGGAAGCTCTGCCCCATGCCCCCAGCCCACCCCACCCACCCATCCCCCCACCGCTCCTAGCCCCTGGCAAAGATTCCCTTCTGCAGCACAGCCAGGAGATCAGGACTTTGGCTGAAAGTAGAAGCTGGGAAAAGGGGGAAGGGTTTTGGGGACAGCTCTGGGGGCCCAAATGCCCTCTGAAACCTTGGGCTCCTCAGCACAGTCTATCCTGGCCGTGGCTCCCCACTCTCCTCCCTGCATGTGCTGGCCAGTACCTGGGTGTGGCAGGGTCCTGCTTGGTAGCCATCCAGAGTCAGGCTACTCACAGGAAGGTGATCAGACACCAGCAGAGGAAGCTGCCAGGCCAGCACCGAGGACAGTGCCAGGCCCTTACACAACAGGGCAGGCTGGGAGGGATGCCAGCTATTCAGTGGGTCTTTGTCCAGGGTCTGCCAGGTACCCCCATGACTATATGCAGAGGGAGGAGGGAGTTTGTACTGCCTGGCTCCCTGGGGACTAGGATGGATGAAAGCAGAGCAGCCTGCTGTGTTGGGAGTTGAGGTGGGAGGAGGAAGGAGGTCAAAAGTCTTTCTTGGGAGAAGAGTTACCTAGCCCCCTTTCCCCGGGGCCCAGTGTAAAATCACAGCCTTAGTAATTTAGGGCTCTTAGAACACCTTAGACTTCCTCTCTCTCTCCCCCTTCTCAGCTTCTCCCCCATCAGGCACCCTTAGGCCTTCAGGTGATTTCTGGAATAGCTCCCCCTCCTATTTCCCAGTCTTCCCATAGGAGACTGGGTGTAATTTGAAAAGGAGACCTCAAGAACTGTTTGGGTAGAAGCAGGTTAAGTAGTCAGGAACCCAGGCTGGCTGGCTTAGAGAACAGGGACTGGGGTCTTTCCCATGGAAAGTGGCAGTGGAGGGCAGTACCAGCAACCAGCCATCAGGGGGCGCCCCTGAGCACATAGGTCACGGAGCGGTTGCCTCCATCTGTTTGCCATCTTGCCGTGGCACAGGGGAATGAGAGTTGACTTGGGAAGCCAGGCCTAGAATGCTGAGTTAGAAGTAATGGTGGCCCAGACTTGCCTGGCACTTGCTCTGTGGTTTGCATGTACAGTCGTACATCACAGTCCAGCCAATCACGTGTGGGACGGTCCCAATCACGTGTGGGACCACGTATGGGATGGTCCCAATGGGCCATAACATAGGTTCTAGGTACTCAGACCATCCAGGTTGGTGCAGTGATATGCTGTGATGTTTATATGGTGACTAAATCACCTTTCAATGCATTTCTCAGAATGTAGCCTCCTTTTTAAAAGACACAGGACTGTCTACCTCAGAACCTGAAACAGCAGTACAGTTAGAATCATCTGTATTCTACAGGTGAGAAAATGAAGGCAACTTGAGTGATTTTAGTGTCTGTACTTATAACCACCTCACCACACTGCATTTCACTGGAATGGATTCAAGTTGCAACCATGGCCTACCCAGTAGTTAATTTCTTCTAGTTAGTTGCCACCATTTTTAAATTGAGAGAGTTTGTCAAATCTGGACTTGTGCCTTTGCTTGAACATTGACTGGCAGTTGACAGGCAGCGGTTGGGCCTTTTAGACTGCGGCTGGATGCTCCCTGTGGCCCTCACCCCTCCCTACAATCTTATTCCTCAACTCCCCGCTGCCCAGGGGCATTTCACTTTTTGACACCCCCCCCCCCATTCAGCCCTTTAGGTAACAGATTGCATCCCTATGCGTAGGAAAGGAATCGGCTTTTCCCCATTTCTCATGCACACATGGTACCCACATAATGGAAGTAGATTCCCATGCCTGATTTCATCTCATCTGGGACCACACCACCTTAGCTCCAAGACCCCAGCAGAGCTGTCGTCCCCAGGATGACAAAGAATTTAGAAGGAGATCCTAAGGTCTTCCCCATGCTGTCAACAGGGAGGACAAAAGCAAGCATGTCCTTTCGTCCTCAGGAATCTAGTTGATGGCAGTCAGCAGTTCAGAGAAGCAGGAACCAGAGTGAGGTTGCACAGACCCACACATGGGAGAGGAAGGAAAGTGTCAAAACTGAGAGCAGGGTTCACCAGTGCAAGCAGCCTGACCTACTCTGGACAGTAAAGCTAATCAGCTTTTACCCTTGGCCTTTTATCAGCTAGGTACCTGGAATGTGCAGGTGATTTTCTGCTCCCTTAATTCTAGCAGCAACTTCTCTAGAGTCTAGATCAAGAAACCCTCTACTCTGTCTCCTTTGTGCCCTTCGTTTGCCTGGCATCTCTGTCCCTTCGGGCATCTAACTTTATTCATTTCAGAGCGACTGGGTGGGCAGAGGCAGTCCAGGGCCCAGGCAGAGTTCACACATGAGAAGCAGGTGCTCTGGTGCTGCCTCTTGGCTCTGGGACTGCAAGATGGGGAGTGAGAGCCTTCATCTGCCTGGATCTTGCTTTTCCCATCTGTGGAGTGGGGTCAGCAGCAGCAACATCTTGTTTCTAAGTGACTTGCAGTTCTGTAAGCACTTCAAGGAAGAAGTGGAACTTTTGGGGTGTTTCTCAGAGTGGAAGAGACAATGGGGAAGTGAGCGCACCCCATCCTGGACCCAGGCAGTTGTGACACTGCCTGGTAGGAAGGAAAGGGACTCCGTGGCCTCTCTCCACCCTCGCTGACCACCACAGAGCTGCCCCCATGGAGGAAGTGAGTCTGGCGGTGGCTCGGTGACAAGGTGACATGTGACCTGTGTGGTATTCAGGGGAGGGTCTTGAGCTGCAGACTTTCTTACTTCCATGTGAGTCTGGCTTGGACTGAGATGTGTTCTAATTTTATTCCTGGCTGATATGTCTGTTGCGCCAAACCAGTAGTGTGAAAGAAAGTAACTTGGGGTTTGCTGAGGCTATAATAGTTTCACTGTTCTCACGCTAGGCTTTGGGCTTAGTGCGTGTCCTCCTGGAGGGCCAGAAAGATGGCTGCACTTGGTCTCTGGGGCCTGGGCGGGAGCTGGTTCACACTGGATGCCCCAGAAATTCTGATGCATAGAAAGACATGGACGCTGAGATCCTCTCTTCTCCAAAGAGTGGGCTGTCCCAGACACCTCTCTTTGCTTGCTTTCCTCAGGCTGCTGGACATCCTCCCCTGACCTCTGAGTGCCCAGGTCCCCCTCAGAGCAGCACCCCACCCTATAGGGCACATCTCTGGGCAAACGCCAGGGGGCTGACTGCCACCCACTGCACCCAGTCTCCTCTCCTGAGCTAGAAGGTGAAGCGAGCAATGTCCCACCTGTGCTGCTGTTCATTTGGACAACTCCAGGCATGTAAAGATAGTGATGCCTCCTTCACAGGGTGCTCAGGAATCCACTGGAATACCACCCTTTGAGAGGATTCAGCCCAGTGCCTGACACTCAGCAGGCACTCTGGGAAACATGGTCCTAGTTCCCTTACTGTGCCTCTCCGCACCCCAAGCACAGAGCAAGGAAATTTTAAGTAGCTGGATCCATGCCAAGAGGAGTCCCCAACCTTCCTGTGAGGCCGTGGATAAGAGCAGACCCACTGAAAACAAGTTCAGCAGGCTCTGGCCCCCAGTAGCCATCACAACGGGTTTGCCCTGGCCGGAAGTCACCGTGGGACATAGGGCTTAGACGTAGGACACAGGCAGTCGCCAGCCTGTTGGGCTGAGGGCTTGGGAAGGGAGGAGTGGGTCACTGCAGGCTGCAGCAAAACAGGTGAAGAGAAGGAATAGAGCGGCTATCTGTGTGCTGGGAGCCGTGAGGGCAGAGTTCAGAATGCGGGGTCAAGGTCCAGAATGAGGAACAGGAGAGAACGGAGAGCCCAGAAGGAGCAAGAGGAGGGTCCCTTACTTTCACTGTCTCTGGGGGAGGGTGGGTATGCGATGCACTTGGATGGCGCTTCTTGACCTGTGGGAGCAAAAGAGAGGGCTTGTTAGATGGCTGTCAGGCCCAGGAGGCCAGGCTTGGCCGGGCCACGTGCTCCTCTCCTGTCACAGGTCCCCTGTCAGGGCCCACTTGGCAGCATCGGCCCTGCTGGAGCCTGCACACTGTCCACACATACACACAGCCCTGCCAGTACCCAGGCCATGCCCGGGGTGTGTGTATGCCTACTGGCACCCACACCTCCTACTCTGACACCCCTTGCTGTCTATCAGGACACCCTTAGACTGTTCACCAAGTCACAAGTCACTCCCTGGTATGGTCGCAAGCAGTGACACACTCACATTCTGAAGTCCCCATCCCAAGTAGCCTCCCTCACACCTAGCTGCCCACAGCATCCCCCTCCACCTCTCACACATGCTCCCCGGAGCCACCCATATAGCGGTGCAACGTGAGGCGCCACACCCCATCATCACGCCATCCTCTCCTCTTACCCTCCCAACAAGCCCACACTGCTCCTTCCCCACAGTGACACCATCCCAGGCTGACCTGTCCAGGTAGCCCTCACCTGTCTGCACCTGCAGATCTATGGCGCCGTGAACCCTCTGCTCTGAGTGGTGGTGCCTGAGCTCCACCACCAGGCAGCAGTAGAGACCGCTGTCCAGACGGGTCAGGTTGTGCATGATGATGGAGAAGTTGCCATGGTGGTCGGAGGCCGACTCCAGCCCATGGCGCTCGGCCAGCTCCTGGTCAGTGCTGGCACTCTGGTGGCCTCCGTGGTGCACATGAAGGTCCTGGAAGGTGAGGTTGCGGATGGGCCAGCGCTCCGAGCAGACCTGCATCTCGCTCCGTGAGCTGCGGTACCATGTCTTGTAGAACATCAGGTCATGTGATTTGACCACGGGACCCAAGAGTCTGCAGGTGAGGGTGACGTTCTGTCCCTCCGGACACACGTATAAGGAATACGGTGTGGCGACCTTGAGGGCGGCCGCCAGACCTGCCCAGAGAGATGATGAGAGCTGTCAGCTGGCCGAGCCAGCACCACCTCAGGTGCCCCAGAGTGGGGAAGAGCCTCGGCCTGGGGCTCCAGAAATGTGGCTTGCCCTCAGCCATTCCCCAGCTATAGGCCTAGGCGAGTCAGCCATCCACGCCAGCCTCAGCTTCTTCATTAGTTCAGGAAGCCAACCCCATCTCAGGCTGGGTGGGAGGAGCTTCCCCAGCTGCAGGTGTGTGCTCAAGTTCTCCCCCCCAGCGCCCCTCACCCCCAGAGACTCCAGGTAGACTGCAGACTGGCCCGGCCAACCCATGCCCACCTGCCCCACTGCAGACACTGCAATATTGCTACCTACCTAGCGCTGCCAGCCTCCATACCCAGTGCTGGTGGGGTGGGGGGTTAGAGGCAGGAGGGGAGCAGAAAGGCATTGGGAACAGCAGCTTTTTGTTCTGGGGTCTACAGCTTAACCTTTAGGCCTTCCCAGCCACGCATTCCCACCTCATCGGTGAACACTAAGAGAGGCCTGTGTGGGCAAGACTTCAAACTTGGAAGCTGAATGTTTCTCCCCTTCCCCTCTCCCTGAGCACCTCACCTAGCTGGGCAGGCAAGGCACAAACCAGCACCTGCCTTTCGCACACTGTGGAGGACATAGCTTTCCGGGGGCAGTTGGGCAACTTCTTGAAGTCTGTCAAGACTTCTTTAGGTCTTAACGGACAGATGGGATTCCAGCAAGTGAAGAGGCTGAGCTGGGTCAGGTGGAAGGGAAGCAGGAAAACCCTAGCCGTCTGAGGGGCAAGGACAGAGAATGCATGGGAGGTCACCTCATCCATGCCCCCAGGCTTAGGAGAATTTTCCAGTTCATTTTGCTTTCTGTAAGAATTGAAGCCATCTGCTGCTCCTTTCTGTCCTCCCTCGTGCCCTCAGCACGTAGCCACATTGATGAAAGTGCTGGCTTTCGAAAGCAGAACCCTAGAGCTGGAGACTTTCATGCGTAATCAGGCTGTGTGCACCTCCGTTTCCTCACATTTGCAATGAGGAAAACATTAGCTGCAATAATAGTGAATGAAAGAAGCCAGATGTGAGCTCCAAGGCCCTCTACAGACACGTGAGGGGTAGCTGTGAGGGTTATATATCGTGCTACTTTAATTAGCAGCTCAGCAGCCATTGTAAGGCAGACAGAAAGAGAGTTTGAAAATATGTACAAAATCCAAATGGGTATGTCCTTTTCATTACCAGTACCTGAACCCAGGTAATGCCTCTTCCTCTTCCAGACTGGCCTTCCCTACATTGAAAGTCTGGGACCCACCAGCAGAGGGGAGAGCCTTTCCCAGGCAGGAGGGAGGCAGCACAGCACAGCTTTGGAACTGAGCCAGACTGCATTGAAACCCAATAGCTGTGGATCACTTCCCTGTGAGCCTCAGTCTCCTCCCTATTAAACAAATGCTAGTATCTACCTGCTAGCCTTGAGGCAAGGAACATTTCCTAGTTTTTGCACAATAGAATGGAGACACCATCTTAAAATTATTTCCCACTAAGATGTGAATGACTGATAACAGCTTGTGATCCAGTCTTGGAGTGCCTGCATATTTAACAGAGTGTGGGAGGAAGCCAAGCCATGGCCCTAAAGAATGTCTACAAGGGTGGAGTTTTAGGCCCCAGAAGGAAAGAGAGACAGACACACCAGTCTCCCACTCACACAGCCACATGTGAGAGGGAGCCATGTCTGGGAGCCCAGATTTTTGGAAAATCATTCCCAAGTTGAGCAATGATTCCAGAATTTCATTGGAAAGATGCAGGTCTTCATAGAGAAACAAAAAGACGCCAATAAGAGAAAGCAATTTGTGTGAAGTTCCAGAAGATTTGAACTCAGAACTTGGGCTATGGGGGTTTCAAGTAAATCAAAACAGAAATATCTTAGAGACATTTTCAACAACTGTATAAAGTAGCTGTTGGTTTAAATCCTGTTTCACTGGTGAGGAAACTGAGGCCTTAAGTAACTCGAAGATCACACAGTAAATTAGGGCTAGAGTTAAATTCCGGCACATAGATAATCTGTGACCAAAGTTCTGAAGCTGACAGCCCACAGGCCCAGTACAGCCTTCAGTCATATTTTAGTTGACCCTAAAGTACATTTAAAAAATTTGAGATTGACATTTAAAAATAAGAAAATTCCAGCTTCTAGTTTCGCTTTGAAACTATAATCAGTCAGGTTAACACTGAACTAACTGTCCTAAAAGGCAACAGCTTTTAGCACAGAGGAGCAACTACCCCTTTAGATGGTGTGTTAGTGTTCCAGTTTGCCACAGACCCCACCACTCCTCAATACTCCTCTGAGTCACTCTATCACGGTATTTGCTTGGCCCTATTTCAGCTCCCATCAGCACCTCTCGGAGCTGGTGTCGTGTTTTCCATTTTCTCATCATCTCAACCCCGCCTAGAGCTGTACCAAGCTGAGAATCCAATCCAGATGCAGCAGTATTGGCGTGAGTGTGCAGCTGGAGGGTTAGAGGGAGGACGGGGCCACAGGTATGGGAAGGCGGAGCAGAATAGGTAGAGGAGAGACGGAGGAGAAGCAAGAAGTGGAGCCCAGAGCTGAGTGGTGGTGGGGGGTGGAGAGTGGAGACGGCAAAAGAAACCAGTGTGGAGGAGGTGGGTAGAGATGGGGGAAGATGGGGTCAGTGTGTGGGTGAGGTGGGGCCAGAGTGGGAACAAACGGCGGGGTCACCAAGAGGGAAGCAGGCCCCTTGGGGTCTGCAATTGCGTGAGTGAATTTTCTTGGGGTCCTTGGGGATCACAGAGTTTCCCAAACAGCAGTGAGGACCAGATTTTCAGCCCCAGAGAGAATTTACTTGATGATTCACAGAAAGAACTGGGATTCAGACATAGGAGTAGAGAGCATTACTCAGTCCCTGTCACCCCACACACCCCAGAAGGACTTCTTCCCCTTTTCGAAAAAGGAGAAACTGTCCTGGAATTCAAGACTGGGGGACAGGGAGAGTGTGCTGCTACAGCAAAAGACCAAGACAGGAATGGGCCAAGGGTCCATCAGGCTTTGTCCTTGATGGAGAGAAAGCATCCTGCGTATTGTGTCTGAGGCTCCAGCCAGGACGAGCTGCCCACTGCAGCCCGTCCTTGGGGGGACACTCAAGGGCACAGCACTGGAAAGCAGTGCACCCCCCATGCCACCCCAAACTGCGCAGGCGCCCAAGCGTTATCAGGGGCTATATATAGCCCAGCTGGAATTATAATTATTTGCAAGAGGATGTTGCTTATTGTCAGACGCAGACCCTTTTGGACACCTGGGGCATTGTCCAGACAGGAGAATGGGTGGGGAGGAAGGGCCCCGGCTCCAGGGTGGCCGGGAGCACATGAGACAGGAAAATGCCCCCAGCCTTGGACCTGCATCTATGCCCAGGGGGGAGCCATCCAGTCATTGTGCTGCTCTCTGACCACTGGGCAAGGAACAGAAGCACCTAAAGGAAGAATGCTGTGAACCCAGAAAGTTCCAGGTCTCAGGATTAAAACCCCGGCCCAGGCAGTCGGAGCCCTGGGCCCAGTTCCTGCTTAGCCATGCCCTCGCTGTGTGCCCTGGGTGTAGTCCATCTTCCCTGGGTTCCTTTGCTTCATCCTCTCTTGAGACTCCCCACATTCCTAGGCCCCCTCTAGTTCTGAAAACTATGGTAAGAGAGAAGGGCTATCTTTCCTCGGGGAAGAGGAAGGGGACAGGGAATGAGCCACAAGGGTGATTACAGGTGTCTGAGACATTGAAAATTAGGGCTTACTGAGTCATTTAGTACTTAACTCTCATAACACCCTCTGCTTGGATATTTTAATTTTTTCAAGAGTTAGTTTTTTATGCATATGGAAATGGGGTGCAGGCCAGAGGTGTAGGATCGGTGAGAGGTTTCACCAGAGACAGAGTGGGGAGCAGACAGGCAGATTGATTTAGTCCACTGCTCAGGGGAGCAGCGGGCGGGTCAGGAGAGGTCTGCCGTGCCATGTGGGTCACCTCCCAGGCCCGGGATTGAATTCGCACTGAAGCAGCTGGCTTCTTAATGCTGTGCTTTAACCCGCTGCACCACCAAGGAGGGCTTGGTTGGGTATTATTGTCTCTATCTTAAAGAAAAGAAAACAGACTCAGAAAAGTCAAGAAACTTGCTCAAGGCCACACAGTCCTCTGTGACTTAGCTGAAACCCATACCTTGAGCATATAACACTACAAACAGGAAAGGACTCTCACCCCTGTGAGGGGAGGAGCTGACACCTTATTACCCTGCCCCCCCCACCCCCACAGCTACTTAGTACTGAACTGGGATGGACTCTGCTGTCCACGAATTAAAACATCAGTTTCTCATTCCTCAGATATTTACCGAGGCTCTATCATGAGTCAGCCTAAGGCAGAGAGGCCTCGTGGGCGCAGAGTTGCTAAAGACCATCAGCTCAGAATTTAGTCCTGTAAACATTTAGTCTGCTGCCTTCTCACTCAATAGGATCCACAGTCACAGGTGGACTCAGCCCCTTGTAAAGAAAAAAAAATTTTCAATGGAGAGAGGGGGACCCTTGTTTGGGTTCATCTTGGGGACACAGATTTTCAGCAATGTTGTCTCTATCTTCCCAGTAGTTTCCTGGCAAAACCTTAAAACCCCAAAGGCCCCAGGGTGTGGACTAGAAGGGTGTGTGTATGTGTATTTTCTTTGACAAAGCCAGAGTTTAGCCCACAGTTGCCAAAGCAACATTCTAGCCTTTGGAGATGGGTCCCTGACTTGATTAGTCAGGCCTGGGAAGCCCCACCCAAATATCTGAATTTTGTCCAGCTGCTCCAAGTTGTACACAGTTACTGGTCGCCTGCTGCCGTTGGCCTCGTGCAAGGTGCAAAACCCCACATCTTTGTCCTCAGAGGAAGCCACGAGCAGATGTGGAGCTGGCCTCCCGCTCCCTGCCAGGCTCCGTGCCAGCATAATCCATGCAGGGTGTAGGAAAAGGCTAGTCTCCAGCGTTGCCAAGATGCAGAGCACAAAGGGAAACAGAGGCAGGGACCAATCTGGGCTAAATGTGCCAGCCTCAAGCTCCAGGAAGTGGTCCTGGGGCTTGGGGTGAAGGTCCATGGGGCTCTGTGGCCAGGGAGGACAAAGGGTGTCTCAGATGTGAATAGACACTTCCTGCGGGGGCAGGTATCAATAAGCACATCGGGTGGAGGAGTCCGGGAAGGGGAAGCCAGGCTCTATTGGCGGAAGCAGCACTTCCAGCACCTTGGGAAAGCATCCACACATCCGGGGCTGCTGGTGGGCACTTGTCACAACTGCTCCTTTCATCCCTGAGGACAGCAGTATGCAGCCCCGACCACTAGCTCTAGTAGTGTGCAGTGTAGGCTTCCCAAGACTCAGCCTTTCCATGCCTGGCCGCGGGTCAGGAATCTAAGTGGCGGTAGTAGCAGTGGGCATTTAATCTGTGCCGGCTATTATCTAATCACTGTTACACGGATTCACTAATTTAATCTTCCCTTCCTCCTTTCCAGATGAGGAAAGCGAAGCACAGAGCAGTTATCCCACAATCTCACAAGTGGTAAAAATTCAGAATTTTAACCCAACTAGTCTGGCCCTAGAGATCTGGGGCTGTCGGTTACCTTCTAGAGAGGAGAGGTAGCCGAGGGGCTGACTGGAGGCCCTGCCTTCTTGCTGCAGATGGACAGAGGGCCTAGCCAAAAAGGGCCCAGTTTTCCAGGGCTGCAAGTTCCTTCTCTCTCTCCTGTGGTTCCAGGGATGACTAGCTGGCCCCAGTGCAAGACAGGACCCAGCTGGAGCTCCTGTATTTATTTGGACATAAGCTCTGGCTAGAGAAGGCAACAGAGGCTTGGAGAATTGGGGCCTGGGAGAAGACCAAAGAGGCCCTCTGAGCCTGTCCTGGCCTCCCAGGATGGGAACATTGTCCATCTCTTTTCCTCTGGGAGAACTGAACTTGAACTACCCCCTGCCCCAGCTAACAGTAGTGAGCTGATGTCTGCAGTGAGAAAGAGGAGCTGACAGCATTCATAGTATAGTTTTACTTTTCGTTTTCCATCATTAAACAACATTAAATCACACAGAGAAAAGGTGGTGCCTTTTACAATTCTGTTTCAGTTCTGAGTGTATCAAAGAGAAAGTCCCATTTTGATACCAGTTTGTCTTTAATATGTCTCTGTCGTTTGCAAACCTTTTATTTATTTATTTTTCCTGCCTGGGACAGCAGCTTTCAAGCCCAGAGTCTTCTCAGGGTATCATTTCCAACCAAGAGTTATACCCTTATTTGGTTTTACTATCACATACTTTTATGATTTCGTTCTACTTATTGCCAGTGATAAGGCTTTCCATTTATGGCAGTAATATAAGGCTTCCTTTATGAATGTATTACTTAAGTCAGAGTAGTTAATGGGAAATGGTAGTACCTATAGTGGTAGGAAGATATTACAGGAATCCCAGAAGAGAGGGGTGAGCGCCACGGAGACCCTGTCACCCAGCCTGCCTGTGGCTTACTCAGATTAAGGGGGAGCAGAGTCAGGACTTGACCCCAGGACTCCATCTGGAATAAGATCCTAGACAGGAAGGTTTAAGGAGCCAGACTTCATTAGTGAATTGCTGGGGGATGATCAGCCAGAACAAATAGGCTGAGTATAAAGATCAGTTCCAGGAAGACCCCGCTGAGCTGGGCCAGTGCTGGGCTGGATGGACTTGCTTTGAAGTTGCAAAGTCCCTCTGTCTGGGGGCCTCAGGAGAATGTGCAAGGGCCTCCCTGGACATTTCAGACTGTGCGTGCCCATAGGTGCTACGGGGGGGGGGGGGGGCGCCGTCCATGCATCCTTCAGACTGACTTTCCGGATTTGAGGGGGTCCACTTCCAGGGAACCCTCCTTGAGCCTCCATGTGCTGTCGCCAGCGAGGAGTAGGACTGCGCTGGAGAGCAAATGCATGTGCCTCCAGAAGTAAGAAAGAGCAAAATATGTATGTCCAGCAGCTGCCAGTGCCAGGCCCCGTGGTCAGTGAACTGGGTCTTCACAGCAGCCCTGAGGGGAGTGCTGGCATCACCCTCGATTTAGAGATGTGGAAACTCATTCCGGAATACTGAGTAACTTACCCAGATTCTCAGAGCAATAAGTGGTCATCGTAGGATTTTAACCCAAGTCTGACTTGCCGTCTCTAGCGGAGCGCTTAGGCACTTGGCCGGAAAGGGCTCACAACTCCAGAGCCCTTGCTTTGCTGTTCCCAAGCTTCAGGCGTGCCCCTGCTGCTACTGAGTGGGTCCTCGGGGTTCATAGGTAGCCTCATTGCCAGACCCTGGTTCAGTCTCCCCTGGTCAGGTCAGACTGCTCCTGGGTGAGGAGGGGACCTCAGACGTGCTAGTGAGGGCTTCGTCACTGCTGGTTTAAGGGCTCACTGCCAGTAGGCCAGGTGGGCACCAGGAAACTCTTCTTCCTTCCTTCTTTCCCTCAGTCTGCTTGGGCCTAAGACCCCCACATGCAGTTTGCGCCTGGGGGAGTAGCCTCTTCCAGCTGCCTACCCCGGCCCAGGCTGGTCAGGTTCCAGAAGGAAACCTTCGCTTTGGGGGAAATAAGGACAGTTAGCCCACTCAGCAAGTATCTCCCCATGATTGCTGGCCCCTGGGGGTCCCCAGCATTGCCTACCTCATGCCCATGGGCTGACCTCAAGGTTGTTTCTCCCCATCCCAGGGCTTCCGGGCAGTGGGTCACAGATTTCCTAAGAGCTGACCGTTGCTGTGTCAGAGGCTTGCATCACTGGGTTGCCCAACGGCGTTGTTGCATGAAGTACAAGGTGGGATCTGCCCTTCTGAGACTCAGGGTGACTCCTGTGTCAGTCTATGAGGATGTGGTAAGGACAGAGTGCCTAAAGGGGAAGATCTTCTGGGTCCCCACTCCCTGGCTGCCTCCCTCCAGCCATCTTACCCTAAGGCAGGTCCAGGAAAGAGGGATCGTCAGCTTTCCTGGAGCTCCTGAACATGATATTCTCCACCAGCAGTCTCAGGGTGCTGGCTCAAGCCCAAGATCTAGAGGCCAGGCCTATGCAGACACATCCATGCTGCCTGGCAGCATAAAGGCTTTGACATTGCACGGTGCTGCCCCGAGCAACCCAGGCCCTCAGCAGGGCTTTCCCACTCACAGACCCTCCTGACCATGCCTCTAACCACACCTCTTATCTCTTCTCTGCTATGTTGCACACTGTGCTAAGTAGCAGGATGAATATTCATTAGCATGCCCATTTTAAGAATATTGAGAAGGTTCACCTGCATACCCACAGTAGTTCAGAGATAAGAGAATGCTGCTGACTCCTTTTAGTAAAAAGCTGCTCAGTTATCCTCGAGTAGGACCCAGGGAGAGGTGACCCATTAGCATATCAGGCTGTATGAGGAGCCAAGACCTCCAGAGGTGAAGGCTTCTGGCCCCGTGGACAATGGGGAGTGATGCCCACTGCCTGCCCTTGGGAGGCCCCTCAAGGGCCTGGTCCAGGTCTTTGTCCCACCTGCTACTGTGAAAACTTGATCTCTATGCCCTAACTCTCTAGAACTATCTCCCAAATTGGGGGTGCTAAGCAGAAAACAGGAAGGGCTTCTGGGATTACTCGGGGTGGTGGGGGGGAGGGACAGGAAGCCAGGTAGTCTGTGGTGGGAGGGTGCTGGCCTTCCTGCCCATCACCATCCCCTGCTGCCCTTCTAGAAGCCATATGCTGTCGTGAGCCATGGTTTGGGAGCCTCCCTGGACTCTCCCTAAGTGACGTTCTTGGCTTTCATCAAGACTGTTGAGGCTGGGCCTGGGGTAGTTCTGTCTGTGGGCTCCAGGCGCTCTTGCGCTCATCAGAGGCTCAGCCTCCACGTGCTGAGGCAGCATGCCACGAGCAGGCCCCACTTGTTCCAGCGGTACTTTCCAGGTTCCCTCAGCCTCCTCCCCTCTCTTACACTGTCCTCCCATGCTGCCTCTGACCCACCCACTGGGACCCCCACACTAAGCTCCCACCTCCTTCTGCCTCCCTCTAGCTCCCCGCATGACCCACACTTCCCTGGGCCCACAATTTCCTCATCGGGTTAGTTCCACAGGGTGCCTGCCAGCCCCCGTCTTCCCTTAAGATCCAGACTTCTCAGTTCTGACCACTCCAGAACCAGCGCCTCAGTCCCCACCCCCAGAAGCCCAGGCTACTACCTGGCATTGTGACAACCTGGACTTTAAAGGAGGAGAGGGGTAAGGTCTCCTGCGTGAAGTCTCTGTGTTTGAGCTGAGCAAAGTGAGGCAGCAGGATACCAAAAGTTGTCTAAGGACCCGGAGAAGTGGCCACATCCTCCCGGTGCCTCCGCACCGCCCCTGATTGGTAACTTCACCAAGAGGCCAGGCTGGCATCAGACCCTCAGGGTGGTGCCGAGACGATGCTGCCCCTCTCTGACGGTGGATCAGTGACCACACTGGCCAGTGTGCCCACCAGGGCGAGTGTCACAGGGGAGTATGTCCCTGGTGCGGGGCTCTGGCTGAACCACCACATCCCCGCACCCTGGGCTCCTGCCACCTCAGGTGCAGGTGCCAAGAGCCAGTGGTACCCTCTAGGGCATATTGGTGCCTCCTAGTCTTTCTGCTGTTCTGCAGAAGCTACTCAATTCTGAGCTTCCTAAACTAGGAAGGGGTGAACAGGCAGCTGCTTGGGCAGCTGTCAGAGGCTACAGCCGTGTTCACCAACCAGCCAGGACACTTGACAGGGCAGGCAGCATAGCAAACTGAGGGGCGCCCTGATCCCACGGGTGAGCTCCTCAATCCTCTCCAGGAAGTCTTCCCCAGCATTCCACCTCCCACTGACCTTACCTCGAGAGGCAACCAGGAAGAAAGCAAGTAGCGCTGCTCCCCAACTCCGACCACCGGCCTCTGGGACCGGGGGGACACCCATGTCGCTGTCGCTGGAGGGCAAAGCAGAAGGGGCTTCAGGCGCACCCTGGCCACTGCGGCTACCACCAGGAATAGGCAGGACGGAGGGAGGGACTGACGGAACGCGCAGCGCAGCGCTGCCGGCAGGGGAAGATCCCGGAGACGAGTGCTGAGATGAGTGAGCGCTAGCAGCCTGCAGCCCCCTAGCGGCCATCTGAGAAAAGGGGCCATTTAGGGCGGTAATTTGGTAAAGGGATGATTTGGTGATGGAAAGCCCAAGGGGACTGCAACTGAGATGGAAAAATGCAACAAATGTAAAAATAAACTATTACATTTTAAAAAATAATAAGGGGACCACTTAGGCAGCTTCCTGAAAGATTTTGCTCTGCACCCCAGTACTCTACTGACCTCCCAAGGGGAGCATAGCCTTTCCCCCAGGCCCTGGCTGCACTTTGCACCATTGCTGACTCCCTGGGCCCTAAACATTGCATTCTCGCTCTCTCTACCCCTACCCCTCTTCTCTCGAGCCCCTGTCCAGCGCTGGTAATGCCCCTGGCACTGTCTTCTCTTCAAACTCTTCTCATCCCTGTGGGCTCAACACAAATCCTTCTCCTCCCTAAAGTGCCCTGAGCTTCCCGGAGGGGCCCCTCTCCGGTCCCTACTGTCTGCACCCCCTGCAGCTGTCCTACCAGACCTGGAGTTACCAGCCAGTTTGTTCTCGGTGCACCGGCCCTCTGAAACTAGACTGTCACATTGGGAGACTGAGGCCTCTCATTGACATTTCAGAGCCCCTGGCACAAAGCTGGAGAAAAATGGTTAATGCACGCTCCCTCGAATGGACAAACATGCAAATGAGTGAGTAAATGGAGGAGTGGAGGTGATGGTGACTGGGTCAGGCGTGGGGAAGGGACATAGAGAAGGGGACGTGGGCTCAAATAGAGCCACACTGCGGGGTCCTCTCTGCCTTTGTACCCAGTTTACAGGCTACTGCTTTGGGGGCTTTGCTAGCCCACTAGGAATCCCGAACTCACAGTCTACCTCCAGGCTGAAGGACAGAGGACTGCCAGAGTCCAGCTGGGTCGGGAGTCAGGGCGTTAGCGCTGAAGGGTGACCTGACCCAAGTTATCAGTTCTCTGGGAGCTCTCGGCCCTCATTTCTAGGCGGGGAAGGGCCGGGGGGTCACATTTTAACCAGGCAAGCTTGCCCAGGTCCAGTCCCCTTTGAGTCAGGGAACCCCCTTGAATGGAAGCCCAAAGCCTTCAGGATATAACCTATATTCTTGGTCATAATTCTGGCCTGCAGCCATGTTGGAAGACAGCATAGGGCCCTTCCTACGGGCACAATGCGAGTTCTTCCACCCAGGGAAAGTACAAAGCCAGTTGGAATCAGGCCCACACCCCAGCCATCACTGGCAAAGGTGAGGTGGGGTCACTCAAGGGTAAGACCCTGGAAAACCTATCTCCCCTTCTCCCACCCCTGCCTGGCCTGTCCTAGGCCAGACCTCCTTTGAAACAAGGGTCTAGAGCTGGGTGAAGAGAGCCTGGGATTGTGGGGAGGGGAGCAAAACTACTACTAACCCCTTCCCCTAGAGAACTGAAGAACCTGAACCAGATTAATCCCCACCAATGCCCTCCACCCCCTTCCTGCCCATTGCCCACGCAGCTCCCTAGGCTTGCATCAGAGTTAGAGGCATTGCCCAAGGCCTAGAACCTCAAGTACTATTTCCTCAGTGGCAGCGGGGGGGGGGGGAGACTCAGCTGCAATTTGGGGTGCTGACTTCCTCCTTAGTGCAAGGCAGGCAGACCCACAGGCCCCTCACAAACTCAGGCCTCATCTCAGAGACAAGGAGCTCTGCTGAGTATTATTAGACGCCAACTCCCAGATCCACCTGTGGGAGTGTGGGCAAGTGGGGAGTGTTAGCACCTCCCCCCACCCCAAGTTTCCTACAAGATGGCACTCTTGTGTCTTGGTGGCAGAAAGGGGGCAGAGGAGGACTCAATCCTGGGCCCAGCTGCATCTGCAACTGGGCGGAACCTTGAGATTCCTTGATAGCCACCTTTACTCAAATATTGGGGGATCCCACCCCGACTGCTAATAAACACATTATGAAGAGTATAAAAGTCACATGAGCAAGCCCAGATATTTCACTCTTGAGATTGATATTTCCAACTTGCCCCCAGACTGCCTGCCCCTCTCCTCTCTCTCAGTAGGAAAGGTTGAGAAAGGTAAAATAACATTTTTCTTCCTTTGGGCACTTGTTATTTTAATAGACACATTGAGACTCTATGAACCAAAACAATGCCTCCCTGCAGATGGGGCTTCATCCACCTGACTAATGCTGACAGGGCAGAACTCGCGAGTTACTGTGATGGAAGGGATATCAGGGACCAAATCAGATTCTTTATTAACAGACAAAAAAGCCAGAGAGAGGACTTACCCAAGGTCACACAGCTCCATCGCAAAGCTACCAACCCTACCTACTTTGGAAACAGTTTTAGCAGCCACCCCTAAGATCCAGAGCTATAGCTCAGAGGAGTTATTACCTCACCAGGTGCAGTGACAGTCTTCTTGGGCCGAGGTCTCCTATCTGTCTGTCTGTCCCTCCACGGGTGGCCAGGCCTTGGGGAGATGAGCGCAGATTACCTACATCTATCTTTTTGCTCCACCTACTTTCTGGCCTTGGCAATGACCCTGCCGCTGGGTCCTTCCCCCTGCCCACACATCTTTGCAGTACGGCCTAATCATGTTACACTAGTCACGAACTTTGGTGTGTAATCGTCAGGGTCCTGGCAGGAAGTAGATGGCACCCTCATAGGGCTCATCAAAGAGAGTTTAATGGAGGGGCTGTTGACAGAGGGCTGGTGCAGCACGCATGAACCAGCAGCTGCCAGCTGCCTGTTGCCACACACGTCTCCAATGGAGGTGAGGTGAGAGGAGCCCAGAGACAGCGGGAGCCATGAGAGATGGGCCACCCAGCAGGAGAGATGGCCACCAGCAGGAATGCAATGAGGAAGGGAGGGGAGGTGGGGGAAATACCCTGCGCTACCTCTTCCCCTCTTCTGTCTTTTACCAGAACCTCACCCGGGAAGCAGATGGGCAGGGCCCCTGGGAGGATGGGGATATCCTCCCAGGTGGAGAAGCAGAGAATGGAGGGGCATGGTGAGGGACAGGGAATACCTGCACACAGCTGATGTCTTCTGTTTATCTCTCTGCTTGGGGAGTGCCATCTCAGTATTTCTTATTGGCCCTTTAGTGCTAATCTCAGAGTTCCAGTTGACTGAATGTTACCTGTGGTCCGAGTGGCCAAGCATCAGCCCAAATTGGCCATGCCCAATGAAGCATGTTGCAGAAACTCTTCTTGCAGTGAAGCCATGTTTTCTAAGCTTTTATTTTTCACAGCTCAACAAATTCTTCCAGTGAAAAAGACCCTACCCCAATGATGGCCATTCTTATACTTGCTGAAAATAAGGTATCTTTTTCACTTTTATATGAACCATGGATGAAGCTTAAACTCTTTTAAACATTACATTCTTGCTTCTTGAGACCTGGCAAGAGGCCCAGATTTCCCAAGTCTCTGTTCCAGGCAAAGCTGTGGGCTGAAGTTTATTGAAGTTTGTTTATATGCCAGTTTAAATCTCTAAATCACTATGCTAATAACTAATAAGGATCTTGAGGTTGCATTTGGCCTCAGCGTTAGCCATGATTGATTAGTGATGTCTGCCATGGCACAGCCAGAGGAATAGTGGTATACATGCCATCTTGAAACTAAGCTTCTTGGTTTTATTTTATCTAGCTCGGCTTTTGGTGGCAACTCTGATTTCCTCCTCTACCAGCTTATGACTTTCCTCCCTCTTATTCTTTTTTTTTTTTTAAAGATTTATTTATTTGTGCATACAGAACTGGGGTACAGGCCAGAGACTCAGGGGTGGCGAAAGACTTCACCAGAGACAGAGTGGGGAGCAGAACAGGCAGATCGATGAAGTACACTGCTGAGGGGAGCTGTGGGCGGGTCAGGAGAGGTCTGCCGCCGCATGTGGTCACCTCCCGGGCAGGTGGGAATCGAACTCATGCGGAAGTGGTTTCAGCTTCTTAGTGCAGCGCTTTAACCCGCTGCGCCACCAGGGAGGGCCTCCTCCCTCTTATTCTTATGCTGCACCATGTTGGATCTCACTGAGTGAGTTCAACCTAGAACATCAGCTGGCTCCACCCCTTTAGCCAAGTAACTAAGCAGCCTGACTACACTCTTCTCTGCAGGCCACCACCCATGTATACGTGACCATTGTGGATGAGAATGATAATGCACCCGTGTTCCAGCAGCCCCACTATGAGATTGTACTGGATGAGGGTCCAGCCACAATCAATACCAGCCTTATCACCATCCAAGCACTAGACCTGGACGAGGGGCCCAACGGCACAGTTACCTACGCCATTGTCGCTGGCAACATCATCAACACCTTCCGTATCAACAGACACACGGTCAGCAGCTGATGACAGGTCCAGGAGGAGAACTCAGAGGCAACATGGGGGTGGGGAAAGAGCAAAGATGGGGTCCTGGAGGAAACTGTGGAGTAGGTAGTGGGGAGGATGAAAACTTTGGGTGGGTCTGGTCTACATGTGTTCCCCCATCAAGGCCTACCTCCTGGAGGGGTCAGAGAGTACCCCATGATGGATCTGGTCCCCAGGTATGTAACTCCCCCCTCCCATCAATTCACCCTTGTCCCCTTTACGTACTTTCCAGGGTGTCATCAGTGCTGCCAAGGAGCTGGACTACGAGATCAGCCACGGCCGCTACACTCTGCTCGTCACTGCCACAGACCAGTGTCCTATCTTGCCCTATCGCCTCACCTCTACCACCACGGTAGGTATATGGGACACAGCCCCAGCTAGAGCCCAGAAAACACCAATGGGGGATAGTTGGGAATGGGTAGAGAACAATTTTCCTGAGGAAATACCTAAATCCAAAAGCACTCTCTTAGCAACTCACCCAAATGTGCTGTGTGACTTTGAGCAAATCACTGAACCTCTCTGTGTAGCTGCATCTTTCAGATCATGTACGGACTTTTCTCCCGTCACAGGAAGAACACAAACTGATCAAACCAACAGGGAAGGATTTACTCCCTGCTTTTCCA